ATTAGCATAAGTGGATTTACAATCACGGTGACTTATTGTTTTTGGCTTGTTTTAAATAATTTTTAATATATTTTAAGAATTTTTTGATTTTGTCAAATACAAAAAAAAAAGCTAAAATTAAAAGAGCTTAAAAGTTATTTTGACCAACTTAAAAGCTCATTCAAATACCCTCTTACTACTACTGCGAGGAAACGAATAAATAAAAAAAAATATTACACCACTTAACAAAAATTATTTCTTGGCACCTTGGTTATGTGCCTAATTTTACTTTAAGACCTTAAGGCATTTTCTAACTTAAGACTCAATAAATTAATGGAATATATATATACCAGCTTAAAAGCCCATCCAAATACCCTCTTTCATGCACTCTTCTATTCTTTTTTTTCTTTGAATTATTCATGCTATGTATGTTATAATAAATTATCAGAAAACTAATTTGATAGTATTTTTTAGGGTGAAAAATGCAGGTTATTTGGAGAAAAAGCTTTATTAGACTATGATATGATGCAGGTTCTTTTAAGAAAAGTTTCAAACAGTTGTTGTTCCTTGCAAGGGTTTCTTGTCTTTCAAGTGAAAGTTTGTGGAGAGTCTAGATAAGAAGAAAAGGAGTTGTTTTTTTTCTCGAAAGTCAAATGTGCTCGGATTTTATTTATTTATTGGTCGAAGGATTTTATTTTTTAAAACATTAAACTTTTGCATTCTATAGATGCTTTGATTTTTTTACTTTTTGAAAAATAAAACATGCAAAATAGAATCCTGCCTTTTCAACCTAATTACCACTAAGTACAGTCAAACCTCTCTATAACATCATCGTTTGTTCTAAAAAAAATTGGTTTTTATAATGAATAGCTGTTATACACCTATAACAGCATTTAGCATTTAAATATATTTTGACTGTTATAGATAAAAATTATCCAAAAATTAATTATTTTTCTTTTATAATGTTATATATAAAAGATTAATAAAATATTTAAATTCAAATCTCAAAAGATATAAATATTTCACGAATTAAATGCTAAAGAAATCTAATACATTATTAAAAAAAAATCTTAACTAAACTCTCAAATATATTTAAACTCTAAGGCACACAATTAAAAAATACGAATAGATTACGTTTACATATTTTAGTAATTGTCCAATATAAGATATATCACGTGTACATCTTCAAATAAAAAAAGAATGATATGCATATCTTCAAAAAGTATAAATAAATCTTTTAAGTATCTTTTGATATTTTTCTAATGCAAGATATATCATTTGTAGATCTTTAATTATAAAAATATTTGATGTGCATATGTTCATGGAACATACTGCTATCCTTAATATAATATATATAGCTATTATAAGTTGTACATTAAAGTTATAAAATATTTGCTTAAATATTTAGAATTATTATTAGTAATAATCTTAGAAAATCTGCATGGCTGTTATAGAAGAGTAATTTTATAAAGAGTACTGTCATAAAGATGGTTGTTTTTGTTATAGGCACAATGCTGTTATAGAGAGGTAAAATATAACATAAAAAATTAGTTCTGAGAAAAGCAAGGGTTTTATAGTGAATGACTATTATATATGGATGTTGTTATAGAGAAGTCTGATTGTACAATGATTAGGAAAAACTTACCTAATACCGACCACTACATCATGGATGCGGAGTCTAGAATTTTAAATTTATGAGTTTTGAAATCCTAAAACGATAACTTGCTTATAAATTTCACATAAATTATCTATACTTATTAAATAAATTTTATACAAATATGTGATTTAAGCCAAAAAATTTTAATTTTGTCCCATAGGCAGAACCTTATCTCCGCCTTGTTAAGGAGGGATATTTTTATTGGGGGTAATCTCATGAATATATGTTCATCAAACTAGTCGTCTAGTGCAGAAAAAATTACTCTTAGTTCAATATTTTTATTGGGGGTAATCGACTATTTTCATTTTATGAGCTATTTGACATAATATTTTATTACAAAAAGTATAATTGATTCTGCTGCCATAAACTCTTAGTTCAGTAATCATTGGTGAAGTTAACCCCATTTCGATTCTCTAAAATTTATTTTCGAAGAAGAAAAATAGATCGTGGATCAAATAGACTTTATATACAACATTTGGTAAAAGTGATAAAAAATATTTGAAGTTAAATCGAAATAAAGTATTTAGAATTTGAACCTGTGTTTAGACAAATTTCAATTAGAAAAAAAAAAGTTGAATTAATGAGCAATATTGTTTTGCCTTTTTTTTTTTGGTTCTCGGACCAAATGTTTTCAGCACTTAAACAAATTTTCAATGTTTCACCAACTATTATATATGCTGAAATTTATATTTATAAATATTAAAAAAAAATTTACAAGCCGACATAAACCAATTATTTCCGTACATATGTTTTTACACGGTGCCTATAAGTAAAGACATTAGTGAATTTACATAAGTATGTTTTTTCCCTGCGGTGCATATAAGTTAAGGACATTGCTGAATTATATATGTTTTCTTTTTGACTAAATGACGTCATTAGTGAATTTGTGTACTGTATTTACACGGATTTTAGATAAGAAAAATATTAGTTAAAGAAAATTTATTGCCATCACATTTCTCCACTTGATACGAGTAATGCAACCATCAGTTCATCACCATTAAGCAGTTAACTTTCAGAGGTATTTTGTGTTGAGTCCAAATGATAAACCGAAAAGGCCTAAAAATGTCATTCAACTAACATAAATGATCTATTTATGTCATTCGTTAAAAGATCGTCTTATTCATACCACTAACGTTATACTTTTTGCCTATTTATGTCATTGTCTACTAACATTTCCATTTTCTGGTTTTTAACTAATAAGAAATAATTTTTCGACCCCACCTTTGCCACATTTCTTTATATTACTGGTTCTTCTTTACTTGGCCTTACATTTCTTTTTAACCCTGACTGTGGATAATTAACCATGCCCAACCCGATAAATCCAACCATCTTTTAACCCAACCCCTAATTCCTTGTCACGACCCAAAATCTAATTAGTCGTGATGACACCAAACCCAACCTTCTAGATAAGCCAATTAATCCAATTTAATGAGATTTTTTTAGACAAATAAATGATAAATAACTGAACCTTAATAATTTTTCCACGGACTAGTAGTACAAATCATGAGCTTCTAAGATTTAGAGTTTTACAAGCTGAATTGAAATAAACATAACATCGGTTTCAAATAAATACAAATCACTGAACACTGATCTTATCGGGTCGTGACAAGGAATTAGGAGTTGGGTTAAAAGATGGTTGGATTTTATCGGATTAGGCATGGTTAATTATACATAATCAGGGTTAAAAGAAATGTAGGGTCAAGTAAAGAAGAACCAGTAATATAAAGACACGTGGCAAATGTGGGGTCGAAAAATTAATTCTTACTCCCTCCGTTTCAATTTATGTGAACCTATTTCCTTTTTGGTCCGTGCCAAAAAAGACTCCTTTCCTTATTTGGAAACAATTTACCTTTATGCAATAATTTATAGCCACACAAAATATATGTGCCTCATTTTACACCACAAGTTCAAAAGTCTTCTCTCTTTTCTTAAACTCTGTGCCCAGTCAAATGGGTTCACATAAATTGAAACGGAGGAAGTATTATTTAAAAATCAGAAAATGGAAATGTTAGTCGACAACGGCATAAATAGACCAAAAGTATAACATTAGTGATATAAATAGGCCAAAAATATTACGTTAGTGGCATGAATAGTGGTAAAAATAGCACGGTATAACCAGTTTTCAGACTGGTCATTCAAAAATAGCCAGCGTTCACGAAGTCAATGAAAAATAGCCACTATTTTGCTGCAACAGAGACCGGTCCAGCATAATATACTGGAGTTCGGTGCACCTGTGTATGAACTCCAGCATATTATGCTGGACCGATATACTTTGCTGACTCCAGTATAATATACTGGAGACAGGAGCACCGGTGCTCCAAACTCCACTATGTTATACTGGACAATTATACTTGCTGGAACTCCAGTATATTATGCTGGAGTTTAGTGTACTTATGCTGGAACTCCATCATATACTCCAACATACTTATCCTGGAACTCCAGTATAATATGCTGGAGTTCACGTATACTTATGTTGGAACTCCCGTATAATATGCTGGCGTATTTTTCGGGTTTTGAACAGTGTTTTTGCTCAGATTTATCTTTCCATAAAAAGTGGCTAAATTTCGATTACTTTTGAAACTGAGCTATTTTTGAACTACCATTTGTAAATCTGTCTATTTTTGAATTTCTCCCTGAATAGTGCGACCTTTTAACGGATGACACAGATAGGTCATTTATGTTAGTTGAGTGGTATTTTTAAGCCTTTTTCGAAATATAAATAGCCTACTACCCCAATATAAACATTAAGTGTCTGCTTTTATGACTCGAACTCTGTACTAAATAAAAGTGCGTGGAACTTTTAGGTCATTCCAATTGTGGCTCTGCAATTTATCCCATATTACCCTCAAGGTTTCAAATAATTTACTAAGGAAAACAAATCCAAATTTTATTTGTCACCTTTCCTATAATTTGCCATTCTTCTTTCGTGGCTAAACACTCCAACGAAAAGCTACACATCTCAGAAAAAAGAACTACTCCACCAAAAGAACTATTCTTTCTTGCTTGTTTTTCAAGATTTCTACCTCATAAAACTGCTTAACGAACAAGCAGTTTCACACAACAACGTTCCTGCACAAAAGTTGGATATTACAAAAAAAAAAAAAAAAAGG